GTGCAGTGTAGCAACGATGAAACATACAACTTTCTTCTAGTTCTTAAATGTTTCCTCCCCCTCCCCCCACTAACATGATCCCAATTCTACCTTACAAATCCAGCTAGACCAGAGGATGTGCACTGGTACAGATAGGAACTGAAAACACAGATGGACCCCTCAGGACCAGTGGTGACAGTGGCCATACCGGGAGGGTGGAGGGAAGGTAGGATAGAAAGGGGGGAACTGATTACAAGGATCTACATATAACCCCCTCCCTGGGGGGCAGACAACAGAAAAGTGGGTAAAGCGAGATGTCAGAGAGTGTAAGACATGACAAAATTATAATAATATGTAAATTATCAAGGGTTCATGAGGGAAGGGCAGGCGGGGAGAGAGGGGAAAAAATGAGGAACTGATACAAAGAGCTCAAGTAGAAAGCAAATGTTTTGAGAATGATGATGGCAACATGTATACAAATGTGCTTGACATTTGTATGGATGGATGGATGGATTGTGATAAGAGTTGTACAAGCCCCCAATAAAATGATTTTAAATTTTAATTAATTAAAAAGCTGGTCAGTTGAATGTACATGAACAGAATGGAAAGACGGGCTTTCAAGTGGTCGGGTCAAAAAGGAATCATCACCATTCAACTAGAGGGGATTGTCCCCGATCCCCAACAACAGAGGCTGTAATGAAGACTGGGGAACACACAGCAGGGCCAACTGCAGATGGCAGGCTTTATAGGTGTCTTCTGAGAAAGTGTCGGGAGCTAGCTCCAAATCTCCCAAAACCAAGGTAAAGTTTCACTCAGCTTCTGAGCGAGTCTGATGGACCGAACTTTGATAAAGAATTAAGCTCTACACTTAAGCTTCTGGATCCACTTAAAAAGCAATGTTCACTAATTGGGTGAGGGAGTCAATACAAACAATGAAAATGAAGGAAGATTGATTTAAGCCACTAAATCAATATGTGTATATAAGGGAACTTGAAAAGTTCACGGGGGGAAAAATCCATATCTTTTCACTGTATTTTTCTAAAGCCCCCTCATATGTACACCATACAAATATACAGTGGATTTTCCTTCTAGAAAGATCGTCTAGGAAAGCCAATGTCATTGATGCTTGAAAATCCCTGTTATTTAAACAGAAGCTTTTAAAACAGTATAGAGCATACGAGGATGCAGGGCAGCTTTCAGGCATAAAAATGCGATCGCAGACTTCATGCGAGAGGAGCTGGAGCCACGTACGGTTAAGTG